TGAGGCGCGGGGATTAAATAGGGGCGAGGCGTGGGCGGGGGTCGGGAAAATTTTGGGGGCAGAAGGCGCGGGCTGGAGGAAGGAGACGAAGTTTGGGGCGTCGGATTGGTGGGAGATGGACGGCTAGGATCGGTTTCCGGGGTGAGCACGCGGATCGTTGGGGCCGATCCGTGGGATGGGGTTTGGCGTGATGTGATTGGCTCGGGTGAGGTGTGGTGTGAAGCTGATCCGTGGGAGGCATGTTCATGCGCTGTCATCGCGTTTTGATGCACACGTAGGCACAAAGACACGTAGAAAGTTTAGTTCTATGAGGAAAACCCCATGTGAATTTTGAAGAATTTTTATCCTTATAGAGTTTTAGGAATTTAATCCTTATAAAGTTTAAAGGTTTTTCTATTTCAGAGAAAAAATCATTCGCTCAAATCTTTTTATACAGTTTTTTTGTTTTTTCTGTGATGTTGAATACTCAAAATTCTTGGGGCTAACTAGTTTGGTAGGATTCAACATGACATGGCACTTTAATCTTGTACTGTATTTTTCCTACTCTTGCATTTTAAAAAATCTGCAAATCAAAGGGGCCCTAAAATTGTCCGTCCTTGAGTGTCCAGAGATACATTTCCTCTTTGGACGCGGTTGTATTTCTTTCCCTGGTTTATAGAATTTATGACCACCTAGAAGAAATGAAGATTTATACGTGGTACGAGCTAAGTGTCTTGTGCTTCGTCATGGGAAAACAAATGTATGTATAGGAATGGCATGCCCTGTTTTCATGATAGCACACGTCATTCTATATTCTTTTTTAGTTGTTGAGAAGTGCCGAAAAATCAGAAGAAGCTACTCATGGCCCGTCATACATGTGGTAATTGCAAACCATATGTTTCATGTTCTAAGGGAGAGGGGGGAGAGAGTAGATAGTTTTCTGAAGTTATGTTTTCATCCCGTTTTATGTAAAGGCACACGGCCTAAGGAAACATGGTTTGTGAATCCTGATAACAAGCACTAGAAACACACTACTAGACATCGATAGAAAGACACGAAGCAAAAGCATGTCAGAGGTTGAACCGCCATGAGAATTGAGACACCACCAGACGGCCCATGAACACACACGCCCCACCTGGAATAAACCACTAAACTATGCCGCGACAACTCTATCAAATTGTTTGCCAGAGATGACCTTTGCCCTTTAGCCCTCAACCGAGGAGTGTTGTCCCCGTCGGTTAGCAAAAAGAATAGAGAGCTGGAGTTTGTCACGTGAAAATGAGAGGGGCAAACGTGATCGTCAGGCGCCGGGATGAGAGGCCGGTGTCGTCCCTCGACAAATGATAGGCGGACGTCGTCACCTCGAAGGACTCGAGCCACAAGGCCCACCGTGTGGGGATACCCAACACGAATTCCAAGACTCTAGATATGTATCGAATTCTGGTTGTCACCATCTGCAACAGAGTCACCAAGACCACCTGCCACAACGCACCTCACCATTCACATGACAGAGGCGCCACCAACACCACCGTAACGATGCTTGTCGGAGAGCCAGACACGCGACTGACATCCCAGGGCCGCCACCCCAACATCGCACACTCAAGCCCCACCTCACCCAGCATTCGGACATCACCCACCAAAGGAACGGGCAGAAAGACACCTCCTTCCACCCCTAGGATACCCCGGACACATGGCAACAAGTGGGTCTGGGCGCGAAACCTCTGTCATGTCGTAATAGCATCTACAATAGCATATTCATCCATTTTTTAACTATTGTAATATGCATATATAACCTAACTCTCAACATTACTGATATCCCAAAGTTTGATTATGACATTCAACTTGCTTTAGTACTAGACGTGCTATTCTCGTTTTCATGTGCAACTTTTTTTACCATTATTTATTTTCCTTTGCAGTTGTATGACCCTTCTCCCGAAATTGTTAGCATAACGTATGCAACAAAGGTTTAGTTGGAGCGGATTATGGTCCCTTTGAAAATATTGTCATGTTCAATGTCTACAACACTATTTTATCAGCTACCTTATTTGTTGCATATGTTACCATCAATATTTTAAATCATTTGAACTTCAAGGTGGCATATCATTATCTAAAGGATGTTGTTCTTGTGAAGTTCGATACACAATTTTTGTTCCCTTTCTTCACGACACCAATCTTAAGCAAGGTGTGGTCACCGAGGGGCCAACACTAACGATGACCACCAAAGTTTTCGAGCTAAGGTCCAAGGTTCCATAACTATATGGTCTTACAAAGACTGTTGTGATGCCAACTCCTAATGAAGATGATTTTGGAGGAGGGCATGTAGCTACTAGAGGCATTGCTCCTTCAAATGTTATGCTGGAGGCCTGAGATGTATGTGTTGTATGGAACATGTCTGATGTGTTTTTGTGTTTAACTTTTTTCTGTGCGTGGTGTTTAAATGTTGAACATAATGTTGTTTTATACAAACTTTAGTGTATACTTACGTTTGTCGTTCTCGTGAAATTCACTACCAGAGTTGATTACCAAATTGACGAAATTGAATGCGATGATATGAGAATTCAAGGTGGTTAGTGATAAGAAATGTATACGGTGCTCTGAGCATCAGAGGCGGTTAGTGAGGCGAAACCGCCCTGTTGTGCTCTGAGACATGTCTCGCACCGGAATGCGGTGCGGGTCGAGGTGCCAGCCAGGGGGGTGACGTCCGGCCATGGCAGTGGGACGTGGTAATCCCAGTGGTACCGTGTGCGGTGCACCGGGATGTACAGTAACCTATCACCGTGGTTGGCGAGCCCCCGGCGTCGTTGGCACTAGCGTCCACGATGGTACTCCACGAGTTCTTTCCATTGAAATTGGTATTCTAAGAGTGGGTTGTTTCACTTTGAAAGTTTTTGGCCTTCTCATCCCAGTTTCCTAGAATTTGTGCATAATTCATGGGTTGCACCCACACATACATCTTCTAGTGCCACCAACATATCTGCTAAGATAAAAAAATGTGATATGCCCTCAAAAAGTGGTTATTATAGAGAATTGTAATAAAATTTTATTGTAATTGGATAACCTTGAAGATCTTAGACGATTATCTATCCCCGAGGAGAATTTTCGCTTGATTCTTAAAAAGCATATTCTCCGCTTGAATACCAAAATGCTTAGTGGAGAAAGATATGCACTTTTCAGTGGGCTAACCTCGGGGCTGGAAAACACAAAATACTTCCATGCTAGAGCCACTGAGCAAATGCAATACAATCCCCATCCTATTACTTGATGATGGTCATGTCATTGATAGTCATGAGGAGAAAGCATCTGCATTTAATTTCCTGCTTCAAGAATTGTGTGGGTGTTTATAATATGCTTGTGTTTGATTTTTGATTCGGAGGATTTGATCTATCGTGTTCCTGATTTAGAGGTTTTATCTGCACTATTTCTATCAAGGAGATTGATCATGTTATCAAGATCATTCCAGGGGACAGGGTTGTGGACCTGATGGATTTACTGAACAGTTTACAAGTTTTGTAGTGACTTTGGGGGGGGGTGTCGGTGTCAAAACCGGCGGATCTCGGGTAGGGGGTCCCGATCTGTGCGTCTTAGGCTGATGGTAACAGGAAGCAAGGGACACAATGTTTACCCAGGTTCGGGCCCTCTCGATGGAAGTAAAACCCTACTTCCTGCTTGATTAATATTGAAGATATGTGGAATACAAGAGTAGATCTACCACGAGATCGTAGAGGCTAGACCCTAAGAGGTAGCCTATGATGGTATGATTGTAATTGTGATCGGCCTTCTAAGGACCATGCTCTCCGGTTTATATAGACACCGGAGAGCTAGGGTTTACATGGAGTCGGTTACAAGGAAGGAAACATAATATCCGGATCGCCAAGCTTGTCTTCCATGCAAAGGAGAGTCCCATCCGGACACGACCCGAAGTCTTGAGTCTTGTATCTTGACGCTTCTATAGTCCGGACGATGTATATAGTACGGCTGTCCGGATACCCCCTTATCCAGGACTCCCTCAGTAGCCCCTGAACCAGGCTTCAATGATGATGAGTCCGGCGCGCAGTCTTGTCTTCGACATTGCAAGGCGGGTTCCTCCTCCGAATACTCCAAGGTGATTATCGAACACGTAGGTTGTGTCCGGATCTGCAAGATGATCTTCACACACCCTTAGCATAAATCTGTTCTGCTGGCAATCTTCATGCGTCGTGCCCTTGCATCATGACCTGGTCCAACACGAACCAGCGTTTCCTGTTCCACCTCGACTCGCGTTGCGAGACGGTTTTATCGGCACGTCCTGCCAAAGCAGAGATCGTGTCCCTCTTAATACGGGATCTTTCATCAATATGGGCATATGCGACCCCACGGCGACTGTTGGTATAATTCCGTGTTTCTTTTTAGATAAGTCTCAAGCGGTCACGCTGAGGACTCTTGGTATTCATCCCTTTTATAAAGGGGTCAAGGCCTACGCCTCGTTTCCACCTCTCCTGCTCCTTCTCGCGCCTCGAGCTCCATCGCTCAAAACCTAAGCTCCAACACCCCAGATCCTCCAGTATGTCCGGATCCGACGCAGCAGGCCGGTGGGTGGCCTCCTCGATTCAGGAGGAGGATATTGCGAAGCTGAGGGAGGTTGGATACCTGACTGCTGATATCCAGCACAGGCTTCCTACTCCGGGGCAAGTCATCCCCATGC